TTTCCGACGTGGCCGCTCGCAAGGGACGGAACCCGGAAGTCGGGGATCGCTGACAAGGTAAGTCCTATGCTGTATTCCCGAGTGTGGCTCGGGGTTAACGCTTTGTTAACCCCGAGCCACACTCGGGAATACCAATGGAAACGCGCAAAAAAATGCCCCAAAGAAGCTCCTGTACTTGTTTGGGCGTAGGGCGTTTTTTCAGCGCGTTTTCCACGGGCTGAAATATGCCCAGGTGGGAATCGTGCCCATAGGGAAGTATGGGATTTCACTCTTTGAGCGTTTTTCAGAGCTGATCGAAGCGCTGAAAAACGCCCAGGTGTGAACCCAGCCTTAAGGGTTTCCTTTAATAAGAGAAACCAGAAAACACACACAAGAACTTTCATTGTTTGAAAAATACAAGAGAATACATGATCTGCAAAAAGGACATTGGATTGTCAAAAATTCAAAGCAAAAGACTAATTGTTAAAAAGTAAGGCCAACTCAAAAAAGATGAGATCTGAGCATGCAGACCTCATAAAAGATGCAATGTCTATATCATTTGTACAGCCCCACATCTCACCCCAAAAAATAACAAAGTCTGTCAATTAAAATAGGATCATAAATAATGTGATGTAAACGTTTGCATTTTTCTTTTGGAGAGCTTTATTCTCCTTTTGACGCTACATTGCGACCCACGAAGGGAAAAATCTGTTTAATCCTGACAGAAATCCAGTGAGCTGACTGGTTCCTGTGCACTCTGCAATGTCATCTCTAGCATCATCAGGGTCAACTCTGTGAACTGCAGAACACCTCCTGCCTATTCTATGGAGATGATGAGAGAGGGAAGCTATTTTTTAGTCTTATCGCAACGTTGCTCCTTCAAAGATACAGTACAGAGAATAAGTGTTGTCACCCTACGACAGGATGCGTGTTACTAACAGGATTACAAAGTAAAAATAAAACAAAAAAGCCTGAAAAAAAAAAAAGAAAACTAATGGAACCAAACCATCTAAGGACTGGATAACTGTAAAATTTTACATTTTGTTTATGGATTTACATACTTTAAAGCAACCCTGCCATTCAGAAAAAAAATCACAAACAGCTATGCCTGCAGTGGAGGGTCTATAAACAGCCTTGTAACAGCAAGAAACACTCCTGCTTTAGTAAGGGCGAGTGTTGTGATGGGTCATGATGCTCAAGGACAGTAGTGATGTGGAAGTCAGTGCGAGGAGCAGAGAGCGCTGTGGGGGCCAAAGAGGATTGACACTCCAGGAAGTGTCAGTTTCTCAGCAAACGTGAGTGGAGGGTTAATAAACGTCAAGTAGTTTATTATTTATATGCAGGTACAGGTGAGTTGATTACATTTCTAAACGAACAAAATACATTTATCAACAAAATACATAGTAGAATGTTGATTCAGGTTTAAAAAAAAAAAAAAGCTTGAAGCCGTTCCATTCTGCTGCTTGCGCATTCCATAGGATATGTACAGGAATTGCACAAAATTATACCATTGTGTTTTAGCAGCCATTTCGTGTTTGTTTATGTTTTCAGCTATGTGAGCTCAAATAACTGATCAGTAATTACATAGTGGATGTGTAACAGAAAATGTTAAGCCACAATCAGTCGATGACAATTTACCAGAAGTCACAAATCACCAATGTTGGAGAAATTGTATACATTCAGTGAGGTTTCAAATGTATTGGTTACCCAGACTTGAAGGCTGGGACATTGATCTGATAAACAGGCTTATTTTAATATATAGATTGCAGACATGACTGCTGGAATACATTACAGGCCTGAACAGGGCCACTAATTAGTTCTATGGACAGGCAGGTATTGGTTAAAGTTTTAGATTTCATGCTTGAACTAAATCTTATCCATATATGCTCATGTTGTAAGTCTTATTCCTAGCTGTAATTTGTAAGTATATATGTACTTCAGCAATAAATAAATAAATGATCATAGTTGCTTACTGCTTTCCTCTGCTACACGTCTTCTTCTATTCACAATTAAATTTGTGTTGGCCAACCCATCGAAAACAATGTGTTGTTAGCTGTTTTAGCAGCTGTTAAATCGGAACTCCAGGGAAATGTTTTATGCACCCACTCACTGCAAGGTTTAAGTGCTTATTTTTGTCTATGGAGAAAAAAAAAAAAGTTATACTCGCCTGATCCTTGGAGCCAGTCGGCTGTGACCGCGCTCGCTCCAGTCTGTCTCCGCCTGTGCTGCAGAGATGGTATGTGCCTCAGCATCCACACATCCTATACACTGTAAATAGAGCGTGATGACTTACGGGTCTTAGACAGCTGCAGCGGAGGAGGAAATAGGATCCAGGGACTTGTCTAAGAGCAAGCTGGCTCAAAGGATCAGGTGAGTTTACCTTTATTTTCCTTCCTAAACCAAAATGAGCATTTAATCCTTGCAGTACGTGGGGTAGAACCACTGCAAGGGTTAATAAAATAATTCCCTGGAGTTCTTCTTTAAAGTGTATGTCTGTAAAAAAAAATAAAGAAAACCATATCTGCAATACATGCACATTTACCCATGGTTTGTCTGTTTAAAAACACTGCAAGTACAGAAAAATACCTGTTGCTGTGCCAGAAATCTTGTGTTCTCCCAACTTCCTGTCTAACCACTTGCTGTCCAAAACAATTTCTTAATATTTGCACACACAACAAATCTGAATTTTTGGCTAGAAAACGGCTTAAAACCCCCAACAGTGATATATTTTCTGAAAGCAGAGGCCCTGTAGAAAAACAAAATGCTGGTTGCAATGTTTTATTTTGCACGGTATTTTTCGCAAATGTTTATCAATCCAGTATTGTAAGGATAAAATACACAAAAATTAAATTTAGTGCACAGAAATAGAATATAATACCCAATTTTTTGGTAAAATATAAAAGATGAGGTCACGCCGGGTAAACAGATACCAATAACCAAAATTCCCCATAGGCTTCCCCAAAAAGCTTTCACTGCTCATCAGTTTAGTGCTAACAGTGATTGATGGCCCTAGAATTATTGGTCTTACGCCGACGTTCACGGCAATATGTATTTGGCGCAATTTTTGTTTTTGAATGCACATCCGACGTGTGTTTGCGTTGTATGTGCATGCACGTGGGGGACTTTTTTGGGGGGGGTTATTTTCATTTTTATTTTTTTTACACTCGACTTTATTGCGATTACATAGGGGGCTAATAATCCTCCTATGTAATAGCAGATAGGGTGTGACAGGTCCTCCTTATGGAGACATCAGGGGTCTTTAAGACCACTAATCTCACCTAGGGACCTCCAAAGAAGCTGATAAAGCAGAGATCTGCTTCATCAGCTTCTTCTTCTGGCTCTAAGAGCCTGAGAATGTACACAGTGACACTGGATGTGATGTAATACACATCACTTCCAGGTTCAGTGATGTGTGCTGATCTCCCCCGATCTGTCAGGGGAGGCCCGCCGGGCCCGCACGAGGGACAGCGGAGCCTGGGGAAGTCGGCGGCGGCCCCGGCTGTGGCGGAGGGGGGGGAACACAGCACCGCAGCGTGCAAGCAATCTGGCACCTGTACAGATGCTGGATCACTTGTACAGAAACAGCAACTGCCTGCTGCTTAAAATGATACCAAGAACATGGCTGCAGTAGCAGAACATGGCTGCAGTAGTCACCGCTCCAAGATCACTCCTGTGATGGACTACATTCTCATGTTTAGTTTACTAATTTGTATTAGTTTACTAATTTGTATTGCGATTGTAGTCCATCACATGAGTGAGCATGGAGTAGTGGCTACTTTACAACACACACAGGGACTATGGGGAACAAAAGTAGCCACCCTCCAGAAGGAAGGATAGTGTCAGCCCCAATTCAGAGATGATTTTAGGATCTACAGCTGAGTGATGCACAATAAATTTATATTTTTATTAATATGGTGCTTGAATGCATTTTTAAGGTTTAACCACATTTTAGATGGTATTACCATTGATCTAGGTGCTTGTATTGTGTAATAAGTAATTGGTGTTTAGATAGGTAGATACCACTGGACTTTAATAACTCTTCACAGACACCATATATGAATAGTTGACTTTATTAAGGGTTTCAGAGAAGTGTCTTAAGCAGTAGATGTTGGTGTCCATCATGATGATATGCAGTCTAAGCTGCCCATACTGATCGGAAGCCGATTAATCGATTATTGAAAAAGTTGACAACTTTTTCAATAATCGATTATAATCGATTATGTCGATTAGTTGTTGCAGCCCTACAGTACTTATTACACTTCCTGATGATCAAAAATAAGGTTACTGACATTTTCACCCAATAGAAAAAAGGTTCATGATTCTTCCACTTTACATAAAAAAAAACTAATAACTGTAAACTACTATAATTCCGTATTTTTCTTTCAATGATCTGAATATAAAATAACTCTGTGAAAAAAATAATTTTACAAAGTGTTAGTAAATTGATACTTTTTAGTTTTTATAATTCTTTATCATACAACAATAGAAAACTGGAATATAACATTTTTAACCTGATTTTATACTGAGTTTTGAATATAACAAATATAACCGAAAGGTGATGATGATGATGATGATGATGATCTACAAAAAACAGTATACCTAAATTAGTGTAAGTTGGTTAAAATTTAGGAATAACTATGGCTCATTCTGTGAAAATGATTTTTATGGTGTCTCCACCTTTCTCATTTTCATGACCTACATTCAATTTCTTTCCCTGTGTCCAGCCATTTATCTCATTTGCATGCCATGACTGAGTAGACCTGTCTCAGGGAAAATGTTGTGCCTTGTATAAATTGTGCTGTCAATCTGCGTGATAAAGTGAGGGGGTTTGCACAGAAACACAGCAGCAAAGTCATCAGGGCCTGCATTGCCTGTTATTCATACCCTCATCACAAAGAAAATAATAAAAATTTGGACTGACATTTTAATGTTCTATTTGAAAAAGTACCAGTTCTTTGCTGATACAGTTTTGTTTCCATGTTTTTCTTAATTGGTGACTTTTTTTGTTTTTGTTTTTTAAGGATTGTGTGCAGCTAAACCAGTACAAACTGCAGAGTGAAATTGGCAAAGTGAGTATTCCATAAATGTTTTATATACTTAAATAGCTGTCCTCCATTGTTTGCAGTGATAAATTGGATAACGATACATTTTACATGCTAGATACAGTCACACGTGGGGCATTTCATACTACTGGTTTTATAAAATGTTAAACCACCCCTAAACCGCATTGAGTGTTCTGTGCCATTATGGTAAATAGTACGTTTCAGGTATGTCAGTTTAAGAGCTGTGCAGTTTTAAAAAAAAACAATCTTAACCTCAGTCTTTCCTTGCATTTTTATAAACTAATTCAATTTATTGGGGGACATTCATCATTTTTGTTGCACACCAAGAAAATGCTAAACAGAAGCAGTGGGAGATTGCGTGACAGATTTACTACAAGGTTGCAGCATGGGTCAAATTCCTCCCCCCATCTCCCCTAAAGTAGCACTATGACAGAATAAACCCTGACCACTTCTTAATTATGCAACTGTTTAGAGTGAAAATCCAGTCTTTAGTAGTAAATCTAAGAACTATGCAAACTGTTGCACATGGCTGCCTTGAAATACAGACGCTCAGAACTGTAAACCTGTCTCGGAGACTTTTCTAAAGGAGGGGCATTTTGATTTGTGACCAATAGTGTTGCTAACTTGCTTGATAAATGCCCCCCCTTCCCCAATTTGTTTTGCTGTATTGGATGATTAGATTTGTAGTCTATCTAAGATGCAGTACACATTTTGTATGGTTACTCCTATCCAAATCGAACTGTCCCTTCGTTTGCTGGTATTTTGGCTTGTAAACTCCTTTAGGAAGATCTTTAGCACATTTGCTTCTGAAATTAAATATCTACTACTAACAATATGGCTGTAGGCCGTTCTCCCTTTATGCATTTGTTGGCTTCATTTTTATTCTCATTTTTATGCACATATAAATATTATATACATGACACAGGATTTCTAGAACACTCTGAGTGTAGCTAAAAATACAGCAATTATGGTCAGTTTTGCTTCCACAATTCTTGTTTTTTATATGCAGCCTCTCGGTATGAAGATTATAGTGGCCAGAACCAGGAGATTTATTGACCTGTATTTATTTAATTCAGAGTATTTTAGAGAATAGGGCTATCAGGCAGGAAGTGAAGGGAAATCTCCACAATGGGACACAGATGACAAATAAAAACCTGATTTATTTTTTACAGTTTATTCACAAACCTGTGATGTTGAATTTTTATTTTTTAAGGTTTTAAAATATAGCATTGGGCTTTAAAAATGTTATTTATCATGGCAGGGTTGGCAATCCCAGATCAGGCTGGATGTAACATAGATTTTCTGCTTCATTTCTGAATGCATTTTTTTACTCGTATAAAAATCATCCCTGCCAGGCTTTTGATGCCTGACAGAGTGTCTTCCGGCTAGGGAATAAGTGGGGATGCAAATTAGGAACGGTTTTAACCTAGTACTGTATATGTATTTCAGCAGGGGTTAAGCCTAAACTTCTGACCACAAATTGTTTTCTTTTGCTTTTGTTTTGTATAGAGTGGGGAAGTATTAGAGCAGTGGCCAACGTGATACAGGTGGCCTCAGGTGCGCCCCTGACATCAGCAATATTGATATTTAACACATTTAATGCTACAAATAGCTGTTAGAGGCTGCAGAAATGTTCAAAAGGTGATGGTCAAAGACTGCAAACATGCTATAGGAAGTTGTTGCAGGCTGGGGACATGCTTCAGGAGCCTGGGGACATGTTACATAAGACTGCTAGAGATCGCTGCTATTAAAACCCCATTGGAAATCAAGGTGTGTGCTCCCCACAGCTCTCTTAATATATGCATGTGCCACATTTGATCTTTCTCTTAGCAAAGCTCATTATAAAAGAGCAGAGGAAAAAAACAAAACTTAAAAAAAAAAAGTATGGAAGCACAGAATAAAGTAAGAATAGTAAGAATTACAGTAGAGTAAACTATTAAAGTGGTTCTAAACTTATGACATATTCCCACGTGTAAACTAGAGGGCACAGCACTGGGAAATTAACGGAAGAAAAATTATAAAAGAAAAAGATTGAACAAATACTTTAGTTTTATCCTCCTTTATTTAGTCATGTAATTGCTTTTCTTGGTATCAGCACAGCATGGCCCAGGTTGGGTGCGGGGCTAAGCTGCAGCGCATCACATGCCCTGTGATGTCACTTCAGCTAATACATGCCCTCCCTTCCAGGCCCTTAAGAGGGGAATTTGCTGCCAGACGTTATTTGATCCACCTATGGGGCAGATCAGATGCTTGAATGACAGCAAGAATTAAAGTAAACTTACTTTTCTAGACCAATTCTTTGTTCTGCTTCAGGAAAAAAAGACTAATACCTTTTGGGTATGGAGAGAGAATAGCATGTCACTGGAATACATAAAAAAGTAAATATTTTTTTAAAAGACAACACCCAAAAATCAATATACATATCACTTCTGTATTCTAAGTAATAACACAATTATCACTGAATCAATCAGTTCATAGGTAAACTATGAAGATTACTCTGGTCTGTAGCTATGTGTATTCTTATTTACATCCCATACTTTTGTGTATTCTCCCAAATCTGTGCGGCAATCCGCATTAAAAAAAACTCTGCACTTTTCATCTGTGCAGACTGGTCACTGCTGTATATCACAGAAATCACTGCGCTGGGAATGCGTGCCTAACTACCTGATTGGACCAGCCGCAACAATGTGTATAGGTGAACAAATGTAAAGCAAATATGTTGCGCTCGGTCTATGTGAACCAACTGCACACTAAAGTGTTAATAAACAAATCTGTGTAAAAATTACAACAATCCGTGTGAAAAAATTGATTCAAGTGGATTATTTACATATGACTAGAAGGTTCAACACACAAACATAATAAGAATAATAAAAATCAACACTGGAACCTTCAGAATTAGTGCCAGTGATCAACCTCATTGGTTCAGCATGTATATTTTAAACACGTGAACCTCTGGCCAGCGGTGTAGTAAAACAACACAGAAAACTAAAATTTAAATCGTGATATTAATTCAAGCTGTGAACAAACTTTGAAAAGGAAGGAGGGGCTCTGTGGTGGCCCTCCAATACTCAAAAAAAAACAAAAAAAACAAAAAACGTGCAAATAAATCAAAACTCTAAAATAATAACAGCAAAGAAACTGACATTTCAAGGGGCATGTATCATTACATGCATAACCAACGAACAGCACTTTAAGAAAGGGCAACTTCCTTCTCTCAGTGACACTTGATCAATCTGTCCGGCAGTCCTCCAAACATTCAATGACAATTCCCCAAGAGGGGCTCCTTGTTAAAGAGGTCTTTTAAAGTTCTGGTTTTCCAACCCCTTCTAACCGAAGTGGTGACCGAAGGAGAAGGAGAGACCCACGCCGGTACTTGACAAGGAGACATTAGAAGGGGTTGGAAAACCAGAACTTTAAAAGACCTCTTTTGTTTTTTTTGAGTATTGGAGGGCCACCACAGAGCCCCTCCTTCCTTTTCAAAGTTTGTTCACAGCTTGAATTAATATCACGGTTTAAATTTTAGTTTTCTGGGTTGTTTTACTACACCGCTAGCCAGAGGTTAACGTGTTTAAAATATACATGCCGAACCAATGAGGTTGATCACTGGCACTAATTCTGAAGGTTCCAGTGTTGATTTTTATTATTCTTATTATGTTTGTGTGTTGAACCTTCTAGTCATATGTAAATAATCCACTTGAATCAATTTTTTCACACGGATTGTTGTAATTTTTACACAGATTTGTTTATTAACACTTTAGTGTGCAGTTGGTTCACATAGACCGAGCACAACATATTTGCTTTACATTTGGTCACTGCTGCTCTCTCTCCCTGTGAGTAGTCTTGTATCAGTCACCCTGTTGGTTTTTGCCAGAAGCCTGTAGTGGGTGGCTGTAGGGACTCGGACTGTAGACCTGATTGGTCCCTACCCTTCACCCAGGTCTACTCTCAGCACAGGCTGTGTGCAAAACAGAAATTAGGTCAGCATATATATATATCTGGGTTTTCAAAGACATGTTTTTGTGCACACATTGTGTGGCTACTGAATAGAAGTGTATTTGATTCAGGGATGTCCCGAAACCTATTAAACATTTTATAGGGCCAGTATCGGCTCTATGTATTGGGGCATTTTCACATGCACAAGTACTCATGACAATGCCTTGAATCGACCCTGATGCTTGTACTAGTATCTGTATTCCCTTATTTAAATGAATTTTTTTTAGCCCAGAGTTTAGATTTAAACTGCCCCGTGCCCAGACTTCGGACCTAAAACAATAGGGTCATCGTGACAGCCAAGCAACGAGATAGATCATACATCTGAAGAGCAAAATGTTCAGAAATAAAATATACAACAATCTGTCATTAATGGCTGTTAGAGTTAAAAATGGTTATAGCACAGGTTGCTCAGTGTGATTGTATCTGATCCATGTGTTTAGCCAGTGCTGACCTATTAAAATGAAGACATCTATTCAGCTAGAATGCCTGGAAAATAGACTGCTGTGAACTCAGTGAATGCAGTACACAACTGAATTTTGACACATGGCTTAGGTGCTTGATGTCTCTTTTGAACAAAGAGCAATGAAAGTACTGCATATTAATATGGCGCCTAGCAACCTACATTCAGTATTTACTGTACCAGTAAGTTTGGAAACTAGGATTGATGCAGTCTGTTTGGAAACTTAAAAAAAAATACATTATTCTGGAAACAAAAGAATATTCTGTTCTTTGCATTATCTCACAAGAGCATAGGTGTTTTTTACAAACACCCTCAGAGGGAATAAAAATATTTTTTTTTTGTATATATATTACTTTCTATCTCTATTGACAAGACTTCCTTGTTGCCAAGAGGCCTTAACAAATGGACATCATTCATTGTGCTGCTACGATCTAACATAAAAGTTGTGACCTGTTTTGTGTGACTTTCTTTCGACATTCTGGAAACATTTTGACATTTTCTCTGTGCATGCTTCGTTTAGTGTATTCTGCCAGCCAGGTTAGCTGGGCAAAAGGAGAACTATGAGATGAGTGATTTTCACTCATCCTCATAGTTCTAGCCGACCTGTGACAATGAAACTGTCACAGGTCGACTCAGTAGATCGGGAAGTGAGCGAACACATACCGGCGTCCGCTCACTTCTCGATCCTGTCACGGCAGAGAGCAGTGACAGGGGAGGGACTGGATTCCCCCCTCCCCGCTCCGATCCTCCAGCGCTGGCTGGCGGAACTGACGTGGGAGGGGGCGGGTGCAGCTAGCTCTGCCTCTAGATAGACAGAGCCAGCTGTCACTCACGCAGCTGGGCGGATCCAGACATAATTGTCGGGATCCGTTTCAGCTGCGGCGTCTCAGTATACCGCGAGCTGCAGCTCACGGTATTCTGAGCTTAGGGTGACGGGAGGACGCTAGTTTGTGTCCTCCCTTTACCCTTAGGAGAACTATGGGGAAAAGCCCTGACCCCATAGTTCTCCTTTAAGCAAACTATTCCAAAATGGCTGCTGATCTTATGTTAATTTTGAAACACTTTGGACTACAGGATAAAATATGTCCTTTATTTAAAAGGCCTATTAGGCTTCCTTTTCCCTGTTCAAGCCTATCATCCCCCTGATTTTATGGGGCTATTTCCCTCAAGGTCTGGCTTATTTTTCTTCTAGGGCAGTTTATCATAGACCTTGTTGTCTTTGATGAATCTTCAAAACCTAGGGAAACACAAACCTAATAGTACAGAGTAAGGCCCCTTTCACACGGGATGCCCAATGTTAGTCTATGGTTACCCCTAACTGCGGCCAGGTCCAGGAAAACAAACAGATCAGAGATCCGTTTCATCTGAACTGATCATGCTGTATGGGGGGTAATCTGATGTAAATATAACATGTTCATTTGCATTTGATTCCCCATAGACCGACATGGGGTCCTGTCATTTTCAGGTTGTTTCTCTGATCAGGACGTGCACGATTCCCCTTCTGATGAGCCCGTGTGAAAGGGGCCACTATAGCAGAAAATATTGCATCCTGGTTAACTGCATGTGGTTGATATCTGTAATTTTTATTTAGTATTTGATTTCCTTTTTTATTGTACATGTCTTTTTTTTATTTTTTTGCATTAAGATGCATACCTAGCTATGCATTAAAAATGAAATTTACTGGGGTTGGGATAAACCAAAATGGTGAGCTTTTATTTATGTGGTTTAAGACTTTTTTCCAAATGAAAAATAGCTGTTGCAGTAACTGCTAAAAATGTGTTAGCTGGACTTAGGCTTTACTTTGTTTGTCACTTAGTTCAAGTCCATTTAAAACTACAAGTCCATCTAAAATGAGTCTGTTCACAGGGTGAAAAGGCTGCAGTGTGTGTACATAGTACGTCACTGACAACTGGCCCGTTTAATAAAATCACCGGGACTCTGTTTACATTTGTAGAGTCGGCAATAGAAGCGTTTCTGGCAGCTCAGCTCCAGTCAGATCACTTCTACAGGCCGGTAAAGCGCACCCCTCCCCCCGCCGTGTCCATTCACCGATCTCCCTGTTCTATTGTACCGGGAGGAAAGCGGAGTCCATCACTTTCGGTCCCTGTGCTGTCATTGCTCGGCTCCTGTAGTTGGTAGGAACCAGCATTATATATAAAGGAGACCCAGTTGAAGTCCTATCAACTATATAATGTCTACGTCGTATGGAGCCCGGTTGTAGGCATCCACATTTAGAAACTGCAGGTCCATGCTCACCATTGTGTGTTCTGAGTTCAAAAAATGTATTCCAAACTTAGAAAGTTTAGAGTAGTATAAGAACCCCTTTTCAAAATAACTCCCTTCATAGAAATTAATACGTTCAAAATTATGAGAAACGTCGCTTATGTCAATTTGCAAGGAGAACAGGTAACTGATGCAGACACTGAAAAACCTCATCTTCCTTGGTTGCCATTAGAGACATAATTTGTATTGTTTTAAATTAAATGTGCTGCATGTCTTCTTCTTTTGGAATTACTTCAGTCACAAAGACATATATTTATTTTATGTACTATATGATAACGCATGTATCAAAATATATAACAAATTCACAACATGTTCTCAATTCTAACATTATAAAAAGGTAAGATGAAAATTTCCTTTATCTAAGCGAGCAAGTCATGGCTTCATCTTTGTTTTCCTGTATTCTGCAAATTTCCAAATGTCATAAAATATCAATAAAACAAGTGTATAGTAAGAACAGAAGCTTGTAAACATAATCTGGAACATATCAGCTCAAAATGTCAGTCATAAGGCAGCTGGGGCCTATGTGCACTAAGAACACCCAATGGTTGGTGAAACTTGTTGTGGATACGAACATATAATTGATTCAGCATTGGAAATAGAAGTAGGTCTCCAGAGGCATAATTAATTTTATGTTAATTAATCCATGTGTAATTGTCTAGCAATGTGAAATCTGTAAAATGTAGAATCTGATATGCAAAAGTATTTCTAATGTGTTATTTCTTCTTTATAGGGCTCATATGGTGTTGTAAAGCTTGCCTACAATCAAAGCGATGACAAATATTATGTAAGTGATATCCAGAAGCACCTCCAGCTATTTTTTTCTCATGGCAGATACTGTGCTGGTACTAGAGGTATAGCTCAGTCCACAGTCTTTATACCCACAAAATATCCCTAAATTATTGTGCTATGAGTCAGTCTCACAAACACTCATGCATTCAATCTAAAGGTTTATTTTAATAAAATAAAAACGGAATATAGACAGGGAGGTAACATTTTGTCTGAGCCAGCTTAAAGAAGGTAATTGAAGTAGTTATAAACTACAGAGCATTGAGTAACTGATGAGAAAATAAACACAAGTCAGGACTACATAACACAACATAGCATGTAAAGCTCAGGTCTATGCAATGTTCTAAACATTATATAGAGTGTAGCAGTCAGGACTCTGCAATGTACATCATACTGCACGCAGTCAGTAGTCAGGAGTATGTACTTATATTTATGGTCAATGGAAGGAAAAAGTACCATGACACCAGTGAAAGAAGGACACCTTCAACAATATTGGTCAGTGCGGGGGACAAATGCCCTTGCTTTGGTGGTATTAATAAATAATACCTGGTATTGGTGGGAGGGTGAATACATGTAACCATGTTCTGGTGCAGAGAAGAATGCTGTGAAGTCGGTGGTCAGTAGGATGAACAAAATGTTATTTTTTACAAGCTATAAAACCTGCAAATCCCTCCTGTTATATTGGTGGTCAGAATGAATTCGACATTGACCACTAGTGTAAGGGGGGTTTCCAGTGGCCACCATTGTAATGGGGATTTACCCCGACCACCATTATGAGGGGGATTCTACACGGTTCACCAAAGTAACAGTAGCATTCACACTGATCACCAATATAATGGGACCAGTACCCTGACCACCAATATAAGGAGGGTATTTACACTGATAGTGGAAGATTTACACTGACCACCAATGCAACAGGGTTATTTACATTGTCAACTAATGTAAGAAGAACATTGACACTGACCACTTGTGTAATGAAGAGAGTCTACACTGATCACCAATGTAACAAAGTCATTTACAACGACTGACATTCTAATGGGAAGATTTACACTGAGCACCAACATAACAGGTGTATTTACACTAAAAACAAATGTAAGAGAGGCATACACTGACCAACAATGTAACGGGTATTCAGAGTGACCACCAAACTCCCTCTTTCTGCTTACCTCTGTGCCCCAACCACTCCTTTTCTAGCCTGAATCCCAAATCCCCCTTCTCTGATCACTTTTACAGCCCAAACCCTCCTCTCTGCTCAACTCTGCGCCTTCCTATGCTCACCTTTGCACCCCAAACCCCCCTTCTCTAATTGCATCTGCATCCCGTCCTCTCTGCTCACTCCCCCCCCCACTCACCTCTGTTGCAGAGTTGCCACTGCCTGTACCTAATAACACAGTAGCTGTGACTAGTAACAGAGCCAGGAGGAGGTCTGCCACTATTTGCTTCCTCTGCTCACAGATGATGTGATCTAATACAAAGCCCATCAGAAGAAGCGAGTTGTGGAAGCCCTGAGTGGCCAGTATTATGTGAAGGTCCACCCTGACAGAAAACTGAATAGGGCACCAAATTTTTTAAGGGGGGTGCTGTAGCACACCTAAGCACTCCTTGGCGCTGCCACTGATGATTTCTGATCTGTGACATACTGAAATGTAAAATGCTAATCTTGAATCAAAATGAGCATACAGTATCTTCAGAATGACATCCCTTACTCTCTGAAACTTAAAATTGCAGCAGAAGTCCTAAAATGATTACATTTTCTAGAGAAAATGTCTGTTCCCTCATTCCAATGAAGCCAGTCACATGACCAAGTCCTATAGTAAGTTTGGTAATAGGATTTCTGATAAAAAGAAATATAATAGTTTTTGTTGGTTGATGTCCCCATCAGATGAGATCATGTAAACAGATGGTTAGGTATTTGGACAAATGACTAGCTGCAGTTAGATTCCAGAGAAGTGGTTTTCTTTTGCCAAAGGAAATCTTTAAGTATTTCTGTTACCTCATATAGGACAAAGTAACATATTTGTTTAGTGCCCTCATTAGTAGCACATGCTTACCTTTCCATCAGCTGCCAGGAGCTAAGAAAATATCCAGTACTTTCAGGTATGAAGGAATATGAAATTCACTCCCTCTTCTCCCAAATGACAGTACTGATACTGGACGATTAGCCCAGTGCTGTCACATTGGGCACAGAAACAGAGAAGATTGGGAGGTGTGCACATGTAGCTCTAAGTTGCTTTTATTGCTCTTTCCATCATCCAGGAGTTGAAAAAAAAGCCAGCTGATTCCAGAGATCCACAGATCAAGGAAAAATGTACACATAGACCTGGTTGCCTCAGAGCAATAGCTCCTTAACTCCTAACTCAAAGGTTTAATCAGGGATATATTTGTCTGAAAGGCAGCTACTTTAGCCATAGTGCTCTTGGAAACCTTTGTCATATGTGAAGTATTTATTTCTAAGGCAAAGATTGTATACTTACAGTTCCCAAAAATTATAAAATGTCAGTTTAAAAACATATAATATTTTAAAAACAATAAATAAAGCAATTATAATTAGTGTTTCATTTTAAGTAGGATATATAGTAAAAACACTGTATATACACACATTATTAACAAGGCAAATGGTATGACTACCCACCTCCTAAGAGTTTATAAATGGTTTTATTCCATAATTTCTGAGGAATAAAATGCAAATGTATGTCTGTTTAGCATTCAAAATTGGTTCGATATAAATGATGATCATATCCAAGGCCACTATTGTTATGTTTTAGCATCACCTCAATCATTTTGCTGACCTGTGAGCTGTGAATGTGAAGAATGTTGTCAGTTGAAGCTAATAGTTGTCCTGAAATGTGGAAAATGTTGTTTGCATTCCTTCCTGCCCAAAGTATTTTTCTTGTTGTATAGCGTAAAAACATTGTAGCAAAAATGGCGGGTGAGAAACAACACACATTGGACAGATTCCATAGCCATTAGACAGCCTGTCTTGGTATCCCCATAAGGCTTCACCCACTGTCAGCGCTGGAGGATCAGAGAGGGGAGGTCAATGCTCTCTGCAGGGAGATGGTCGGAAAGTGAGCGAGCTGCGTTATTTTTTCGCTCACAGTTTCAATGGCACACGTCGGCTCTAACTATGGACTCACTCACCACTCACCCCATAGTTCTTCTTTAAGATAATCTTAAAGTGACATTTAACTCAGGAATTAAATCTTAAAAATGAATCCAAGTACCCTAACTAATAACAAAAATGTATCTTATTTGTGAATCATTCAGTTGTAGATCCTCAAATCATCTCTGAATTCCTGCTGACACTGTCCTTCCTTCTGCAGGGTGGCTACTTTTGTTCCCCATGGTCCCTGTGTGTGTTGTTAAGTAGCCACTGCTCTGAGCTCGCTACTGTGCTGGACTACAATCTTAATACAAATTAGTAAACTAAATGTGAGATTGTAGTCCATCACATCTCCAGAAGGAAGGACAGTGTCCGCACAAATTCAGAGATGATTTGAGGATCTACATCTGAGTGATACACAAGATACATTTTTGTTAGTAGTTAGGTTACTTGAATGTATTTTTAGGAATTAACTCCTGAGTTTAGTGTCTTAAATCTTAACAAAAAGGTTGCTAATTTAATATGTATGTCTCCTTTATTCTTTCCTTGTGGTTGTCTGTAGTTAGTGATCTATGTTGGTTTAATACATTATGCTTTCTTTTAGGTTAAAAAGGCCCTGTCACACCCAAATTATTATTTTTTTTTCTTCAAAAACTGCATGGCATAGAAGTCTTCAGAACGCTTTCGCTGCTGGGTCCAGCTACCCATTTTTCATCTCAGATGGCTGGACCATTTTTGCTCTTTTTCACTTTTTTTCTATATATCAGTATTTTCCCCTACAACTTTGAACGTTATTAAACTAATATATTTTCTGAAAGCACAAGGCCTGTAGACTTTTCCCATAATGGTTGTGCAAATATTTATCAAACTTTATTTTCAATAAAACTACAATCGTCATTACACTTTTAATAAAAAGCATCAGTTAAAAAAAATCATTATTAGCACAGATATACAACATCATTTCAAAATTCTTACTAAATCAGAAAGATCCAACGTTATTAATGCTAATAAATAACAATTGTTTGTAAACTTTAAATTGCTTCTTTTCTTGAAAAGCTGAAATTTGAAAGCAAACAAAACTAAATAAGCAACTTAAATTGAACATGTAGCCAAATAAATGTTTTACCTTTACAAACACTTTAAACTAACACCTATGTTGTTGACCTCACACCTCTGCTTGTGCACACACGGGTGTCTGTGTGTTTTTGTGTTGCATTGTGATGGCCTGCCTCAACACATTGCATGTTAAAGCACAAAATAATGCACATTAAATGTGCCCATTAAAAACAAAGTGGCTGTGGAAAGGCCCCCCTACCCACAGATACTTGCCTCTCCAGTGAGCCTGGGATACTTCCTCCTTCATTGCAGCTGCTACTGAAATAACAAGAGTCAGAGTCTAGAAGGGGTAGTGAGGTCACTCCTTAGTGTTTAACCCCTAGACCTGAGCACTGTCATATTGAAGGAGGTTATATGCTCCCCCATACTCAGGGGCAGGAGAAGTGATGAGTATTAGTGGTTTTTACAGACCATGTCATTCTAAATATGCCCCTAATTAACCATTCACACTTGTTCATTGTGTTTTATATGTGGTAAAATATGTGTTTTACTACAATGCACAGCAATAAATGTATCGCAAATAAATGTGCAAACATTTTTGAATGGCACTCCAATGCTCTAATACAGTAGTGAGCAATGTACCTACACTGCAGCTTATCACAACACACGCTGTTTGTTGTGGTATGCTGCATTGATAAAAAGGGTCATGTGGGCCTAGTCACACTTTTTCATTGCGGTAACACATTTAACTTGCATTGCGGTATCATTAATAGTGTGTTGTCAGAAAACAAGGGTCATGTTTATTTTTAAGAATGGGCTGTTTTAATATGACGCATATT